GCTGTACTCCAAGCAGCAACTAAGGACTCCACCAGATTGTGGACGAGAGCGTCAGGTATTTCTCCAAGCGCCTTCTGAAATCCCATAGGTCCATCAGGCGTCTGGGGCGGAACCACCTAGTCGGTTCCTCCTCCCTACAGTGGGGGATTGGCCACCGAAAGTCAAGCCTCAGTAGGAAGTGATCAGACCATGACAAGGGCAAGATCTTAATGGTGAAAAAAAATAATTCTGGATATTGAATAACTACAGATAATTTAAATTGTGAGGTACCATTGGAGTACAAGTCCAGATGACCATGTCCAATCTAATAAATGCAAAAGCAAATTTGGTGCTTTTTATCTTTTGGTTTAGTACCTAAATATCTATGGAACTGTCTTCACCAACTACAATTAAACATCTATTATTTTTGTGCCACACAAGCTATTGATAGTGCCTTATTTTCAAGAAATAAGAAGGGCTGAGAACAGGAAATATTAGGTTTTTCGTATCAGCACCTATATCCTACACTTTAAAACAGTAAAACTAGGTTCTATGGAATTCTAAGATTCCCACGAGACTTTGATGGGTTTATTTGAACTTCAATCAATATTCCATCACTGGAGTTTTACTTCTTGATTAGAGCTCCAGAATTTTGTTTTAAACAATTTACATAGCCTTGAAAATAGTATGAAAATTTCTACCCTAGAAAGCCTTTTTCTGGAAGTTAGATTAATCTTAACATCTTCATAAATGATTTAGATGAGGGGATAGAAAGGGAACTCATCAAATTTGCAGATGACACCAAACTGGCAGGAATAGCCAACACTCCAGAAGATAGGCTTAAGATACAGAAAGATCTCAACAGACTTGTAAACTAGGACTATGTAACAAAATGAAATTCAGGGTGAAAAAAGTAAGGTTTAGACAAAAAACTAACCCTAAAATAAACAGGTATAAAATAGGTGATGCTTGGCTCAACAGTAGTAACTGTGGAAAAGATCTTGGAATCCTAGTGGATAATCATTTAAATATGAGCCAGCAATGTGCTGCAGCTTCTTAAAAAACTCAACACAGTACTAGGCTGCATTAACAAAGGGATTAAGATCACATCAACTATTAGTCCAACTTTGTAATGCCTGGTAAGATCTCACTTGGAATATTAGATCCAGTTTTAGTCGCCATGATATAAAAAGAGTGTTGGGGAAAGAAAGAGTGTGGAGAAGAGCAAACAAAGATAATTAGGGGATTGGAGGATAAAACATATGAAGAACAATTACAAGAATTAGGTATGTCTAGTTTAATGAAAAGAAGGACTAGGGGTGACATGATAGCAGTGTTCCAGTATTTAAGGAGCTGCCACTATTCTCCAAAGCACCTGAAAGCAAAACAAAAAGCAATAGATGGAAACCAATCAAGGAGAGAACCAACCTAGATCTAAGGAAAAATTTCCTGACAGTTATAACAATTAAACAGTAGAACAACATACCTCCAGATGTTGTGGGTATTCCAACACTGGAGGTCTTTAAGAAGAGACTGGAAAACCATTTATCTGAAATGGTATAGGGTTTCCTGCTTGAGCAGGGAGTTGAACTAGAAAACTTTTAAGGTTCCTTCCAATTCTGTTATTCTATTATTACTTTCTGCCATAGCTTTCCAGAAGTTGATGAAAGCAGAAGGTTTCTGATGGAGTGATTGGAAGGTCCAATCAGCAGAAGAATTGCTGTCACCATCTATCTTTTGCAAGTTGCTGGATCTAATTTTTATTTTATTCTATTTTTTGCTTTTTTGTTGTTAACCGTCAAAAGAACTTGGACATTAAATTGTTACATAAAGTTAGCAAATAGATAAAATGTGAACAGGCAGAAAAGCTTCTTTATTTCTATGGTTTTTACATCTGTCCTGAAAACCGATTCTTAGAATAAGACCTCAAAGTAACAATATATGATGGGCATACATCTTTCTTACTTAAACTCTCAACCAGAAGAAACAGAAGAGTTATTGTGTATGCCCTCAGACTGAAGATTTCAGCACCCCAAAAACTATTTCAGTGTATATAGTAGTATGCATTTTATACATTACTGGATTACAAGATTGCATAATTTGTAAAATTAGAAAAAATAGTTCATATATCTCCTTTCCCACCAACTTTCAATTATATCTTATAAAATTAGGTACAATTTATAAAGCACTATAGAGTTTAATTCCCAGTGGACTTTTGAACGTCATAAATTCTATAATAATTATAACAGTTGCATGCACATGATGAGTCCCCAAAAAGATAAAATTAACCTATACTGCCCCTTGGTGGTCAAATAATCACTAAATATTAATAAAACAATCATAAGAACCTCGAAGAGGCGTTTGGACTAGAAGACCTCCAAGTTCCAACTTTGTTATTCTATTATAACCCCAGATTTTTTTCAGGTCAAATAAAGTTTCTTTTAATGTTTCTCTAGAGTTTCTTTATAGACCTAAATCATTCTTATTAACCAATCTAAATTAGCATTAGTTTCCCCCTATCTTAGATATTAGAAAAGAGGGTCTTAAAATAGTAAACTTTTCTTAAAAAATAAATTATAAAAAGTTACCAGGAAGAAGTTGTGGGTTAATTAGTGTATGTTAAGTGATGCACTGAGAAGAGTGAGAAAGTGGAAACAACCTGAGAGTCAACAAGGAAATAATAACCAAGGGAACTGATATGAAAGTTATAACTGACCACTCAAAGGAAAGGAGCTAGTCTACGCAAGTTGACAGTGCTGATATAGATAGACCTCGCTTAATTAATTAATGCCACCAGATTGCATTTACAATTGGTTGCACGTCCCACATATGACTATATGGCAGTGTTTCTAACATTTTTGTTGGTTTGTAGCAAAAAAAAAAAGCCTATTTAGAAGAATGGATTCACTTAAGATCCATGTGGTTTGCTTAACAAACACAGTGAATCATCATTATAAAAACAGATGTAAAATCGAATCAGGTCAAGTGGTAACCTATTTAACAACTGAAATGCCTTATGACCAATTGTGATTTTTTTTAGCGATAACTACTATCTGTACACTTACCCAAAATAAATGTGTTGCTCTTCAATGGTAAATGCTGTTGGTATGGCATCCATTACCCAGGATTTAATCCTGGATATAGTTCTGATGTGGACTTACAAAAGTAATGGCTCAGAGAAAATAATCACTCTATCTCTTCCAGCAGTGTTTTCATGTAACTATATGATGCAATAGGCTGGATGGAGACTAAAAAGTAGTTGTGTTCTCTAGGAATTCTAACTTGCTGACTTACTAGATAGAAACAACATTCAAACTCTTTTGCATCACCTTCTCTTGCCTGCCCTATATAATAATTTTTTATTTTATTTTTAGAAAATTTCCTTTCAACATATTGCATTAAATAATTATAGAAATACAAATGCAGTTATATTTATTAAAATAATTAAGTAAGTACATTTTTATTTAATTTATTAAATTAAAGGCAGTTAGCATTATTTTATTTAACCAGAAAGTGGGAATATGTACAAACAGTAAATTTCAAGAATTACTACTAGACAAATTAAATAATTCACGATTACTGCAAAACTCCCTTTTTGCACTACTGTATTGCCATCTGCCTTTTGTTTTTGGAACAGTTAAATTTGCTAATATGTTGTTCTTGCATTGGATACAAGAGTAGCACTCCCCCCATTATTTCAGCTTGTCTTGGCTACATACATACTTCAGAGAATATATTCAATTTGGTATTTCTTTCATGGAATCATGCTGTAATCTGGTGATATCTATGCAGTTTTCTTGGCAACAATATTGATGCCTTTTTTCTGAGATGTGTTTTACAAGACTAGCTTTCTGAGATCATCTATTAACCCATCAATATTGTTATATATTGGCCTGCCCATCTTTAAGTCGTTTTAAAATAATAATAGTCACAAAATTGTATTGTGTTTTGTTAATATTTCAGAAACATTAATCATCAGTAATAATTAAAAGGTGATGCTTGATGGCATTCATCTTTAGACACCATTATTTCTACTGACATTACATCTGAAAGTATGTATTTTGATTATCAAACTTTCCTTGTTTAGTCAGTCCATCATACTACAAATATCTTTAAATATTATTAATATACCCATTCTGTTAGTCTCCCCTGTTTTCAGTTTTTCATTTCTCTCATCAAGATTGTCATCATCATCATCGTCGTCGTCGTCATCATCATCATCGTCGTCATCACTGTACTGACCAAGTGCATTGACTAACTCCACAAATATTTCATCATTGATGAATCCACACTCTGAAATTTAAACATTTTTTTTTAAATGAAGCACATTTTTATTAAAAGTCTGGGTAAAGAAAGTTAGCTTACTATGCAGAAAAAGATAACACAATTTCTTAAGCCTGAAACAAATTAAGCACTTAAATGAGAGTAGGTGCCATGGAGTTTACAACATGCAGACCTGGGTATACATATCCATATAAAAGTAAATGTATGTGGGAAAAACAGCATTTTTCAGAATTTTTCAATTTACTAGGTAGTGCTTTTTATTTATTATTTTATTGTTTTAGTTTACTATCAAATAAAAATTGAAAGAACTATGCAAGATTCAAGGTTAGACAATAGCCTAAAATCCTTTATTTATGAAGGAAATGTAAGACTCCTATGAATAAGTTATCAGCTTAATATTCAAGACAATGAACACACATATCAATGCATTAAAACTCAATGTCAAAAATATCATCAGTGTAACAAAGCAGATTTCCATAGTAATCAGGTGAAACTATCCAATGGGAAAAAAAGGATACGAGAAATGGAATCACAAAGAATTGAAACCATGTTATTTGATGTAATGAATGCTTTTTCAGGAAGAATGCATGATATATTTAACAGAGAGACTGTATTAACTAACTGGGGAGTAAATGCTCAACAAAATGATAAATCATAACTTACCCCTATCTCCATGTACCTTTCCATCATAGTTTTTTATTAGTTCTTCANAATGTGTTTATGTGTTCTGTTGATGTGCTTATGTGTATAAAATAAAAATTAAAAAATAATAATTATAATTGTTCTTCTCTGAACTACCCAACAGGGCTAATATCTCTCTACATTCCCATTTTCCTAGCCCATATAAAATGCCTGGAAGAGTTCATTTGTTAGCATAAAGTGAAGTAGCAACAGTATGCTGCTCATATTCATGTATGCATCTCTACTCCTAGCCAGACAAATGATACAATCAAAATGTTTGGACAATGCCAGGAGCTTATGAGGCTCTGGACAGGAAGAATAGGTTTGTGACACAACCCTAGCAAAACTGAGCAGCTTTACGTTTTTGGAACCTTTGAAGGGGAAGATTTTGTAATCTTTTATTCTCAGTGAGTTAGCGCATCTCTGTGTGTGTATGTATGTGTGCATGCACGTGCACGCACACACACATACGTACACCCTTCTCCAAAAGAGCACAAGCAGAAACTCCTTTTGGACTCACAGCTCTGATTGAAAAGTAGTTAACAGCCAGGCCTATAACTGGTTCAATATTCATTCTCATACCCCAAATGAATTACTGCAATATGGTCTGCGGTGGGGGTGGAGTGGCTATCCTTAAAAAGCACCAGAAGCTTTGTCTGGTCCAGAATACATTGGCACATGCACTTCTAATACACCAAGGTCCATCCAGGTTACATTATTGTTGCACAAGTTGCATTGGATCCCAGTCTGCTTCAATGTGCAATTCAAGTTTGGCCTGGAATAGGCAAGATTAATTGTCAGATCATCTATCTCCGAGGGTGTCTGCCTCTCCCACAAAATTGGATAAGACAAGTGAATGCCAGGACCTTTCTATTAAATATTATCCTGCAGGACCAAGTTTATGCTTGACTGTTGTAGTGCCTGACCTATAGAATAGCCTGTCTCCAAAATCTGGAGGGTGAATGTTCTGATCTCTCTGGCCTTTGGTAAAACTGTGAATATTAGACTTTTAATGTAGGTGCTGGGTCAGGATGTTACATTAGCCCAATATAGGTGTGATTTGTAAGGTAAATTTATTATAAATGAGTTGGTTATTGTATTATGATCATTTTAATTCTGCTTTTTGCTTGATTTATAGTAATTTTATATTGGTTTTTGCTAATCATTATCACCTAAAAATAGGCAACCATATACATTTTCTAAATAAATAAACGAATCCCTTTTCTTCCATATAATTTTATATAAATTAGTTGCCCAACTCAAAGGAATAAAGTTCCTAAGGACAATTCATAAGCACATAATGTCATATTGCATGAATAAAAAAGCAAACTAATTTTCCTCCAGTAAAAAAAGAGTTGACAACTTTGTAACTGGGTTTCCACAACACAGGTTAACCAACCTCCCTGGTCCCACGCAATGAGCTCACAGAAGTCATGATGTGTACAGGTTGTATCCGGCGTTGTTTCCATTCTTGATTTAAGATTTCTGTTCTTTCTTGTATCTTCTGACGATTATAATTAAACATGCTCTGGAAATAAATGGTAGAAACAGAGACTATATCCTCATAGTTTTTTAATTATCAGGACTTCTGAATAATATACATTTCACTGTTAAAGATTAGTATTTTCATTAGATGTATATCCACTATATGTATCATACATATTTATCTACAGTAACATAATTTAAATTTTAAAATACACTAATTTTCAATTCTTACAGCTATTAAGTGAAACTGGGTTTTCCCCATTGACTTTGCTTGTCAGTAGATGACTGGGAAGGTTACATGTCCCAGTGATGACATAACACTGGGACAATGCAACTGTCATAAATACACGTCAGTTGCCAAGTACCTGAATTTTCATCATATGACCATAAGGATGTTGCAATAGTTGTAGATGTGAAAAATGATCATAAATCATTTTTTCAATGCTTTGTAACTGAACAGTCCACTAGGTCTATTAATATGTAACAACATTCAAATATCTCAAAAATGGCTAATTAAAATCTAAAATTTAATCGTTTCAGGCAAAACAAGATCAAACAAGCTATAAAATATTTTATTATATACTATTATATCCATCACTATACAGCAGAATGCCAACACTACAGGCATCACAATCAAAGATGTATAAATGTGATTGAAGGGCGCTGAGGTAAATATCTTGCACAACCCTTAATATCTTAAGAGTATAATGAATAAGCTAATGGGAAGCCATATTACTTAATTATCTAGAACTGAAATAGAATGAAATCATAAAGCTGGCATCTTTTACTATCAACTTTCTTAATCTGTTTCTAGTCTCAGATTTTGAGTTTTAGGTACAAATAACTGGGAAGAAAAGAAATAAACTATTCATAGAAAAAGTCTTGAAACTTATTATGTACATGCAGAAGTTTTTAATTTTGCACATAATGAACGAAAAACATTGAGCTCATATATTTATTAGTGAAAAATATTCCTATAGGATGAAATTAAACCAAAAATTTAAAAACATAAATCATTCTACCAAACTACCAATTTGTATTTTTTCAAGCAATCATTTTAATTATAATTTTCAAAATATATTTAAAACTATTATTGTGTGGTTATTATATTCTGCATATAAATATGTCCAGATCACATGTGGATATTAATTTAATTTTTCACCAAATTGATTTTCTGAGCAGAATTAGAAGCAAGTCAAATTTTACATATTTTGGAAAGTCAATTCTATTAAATTTAACTGACTTGTCTTCAAATTAATCGCCACTTAATTTTGCAGCTAAATTTGACAAGACTCTATATCTTAATTACACCATGCTTATAAGTAAAGGCACTTGAGAACTATACTAATTTCACACTCAAAAACTGACTTAAGCTTATATTTTTTTCCAGCAACAATCTTCTCACACAGCTAGCCAATTTAAAAGCTAAAGAAAATTTCAATAGGAGATGGCAACATGACATGGCTGAGTCTATGTAAAGTAAAAAAAAATCATATAATAGTCATTCTACTATTAAACTCCAAATTGTATGATCAAGAAGATTAAAATTATGCATTTTGATATATAGATGCATTATCTTTATGGTAACAATTTTTAGAATTTATCTAAAAGAGACAAAAATATCAAATGGAAAACAGCTAAATAGCCATACCAGGAACAATTGCTAAGAAAGTCTTATTATTTAATACTGTTATTGTGGGTTTCCTTCAGAATCAGCATATTTTAGTTACAACTTAAACTAACAAAAACAACTAGAAATACTTTTGTATCTTTGGAATACGAAATGAATTACCTTTACTTCATCTGCTCGCCTGAATCTCTTGAGCTGTCTAAGCCTCATATATTCTGATTTCACACGCCTCCTCCAACAAGTTGGTCCTTTCTCAGATTTCTTTCCAGTCTGACCCATAGTTACACCTGCAAAGAACAAAATGTGGATGTAAGAGCAAACACAATCAGCATTCTATATTTAAGTACATGACCTGACATTGATTATGTAAAAATGTATATATAAATAAAAAGCTTATGCTTACGGACATCACTTGCCAATTGGAAAATTCTTTTCCTCGTTAGAAATTCAAATCATGTATTGTTCATATCCCTCAGCAAAATAGTTACTCNTAGGTTGCCAAGTGATCAAATTATAAACATATAATTACAGTGGCACTGCAACAGTTATAACTTTGAAGGCCAGCTGTCACTATCATTTCTTCAATACCATTGTAACACTGAACAGTCACCAATGGAATAATTGTTAAGCAAAGACTACTTGTGGAAGGGTAGGGGAGGGAAGAGGTCCCTGCGCATTATACGCTGCTAGTCACTGCCAACTATAGAGACAGGACTCACTTCCGTTTCAATGCTGAACCAGAGCTGTCAGAAGACATTTCTGACGTTATGTGGCCAGTATGACATCACAGAATGTACTGAGCATTGATATTATTTATTATCCTTAGGAAATATGAATTTACAACATAATATAAATCTGACATTCATATTTAATATAATCCAGCAACTATAGTCTACAAAGTATATTGATTTGATGATTTTAATTTCATAATTTTCAGGATCATAATCACTTACCATAAAATTTTGTTGAAGAGGTGACCAAGAATACATTATGGGAACTGAGGCAACAGCATTCAGAGTTTTGAGAGGAATAACTTGTTTTGGAAAGTCTAAATCACTGCTGACAGAACACTAAGAGAAAAGATAACTAATAGTAAATTGTTTTCAAATTAGATACAGCAATAGCAAAAAAAAATCCTGATTTTAGCAGAAATCAATGTTTTCAAATGATAATTTGAACAATTCTTTTAAAAACATTCACAGATGTAAGTATACTCAAACAGAACAATTGCTTTCACTCTTATGGGTTTACATATACATGAAATATCTATATAATTTTTTGCATGTAAAAAAACCAGAAGATTTTGATCATTCTCTAAGAGGGCTAGGATAATAAACAGTCATGTAATTTAGAGTTTAACTGAATTGTATATGCTACTTAAACCAATCTTTCTTTTGAGGAAGAGATGCACAGTGAATATGAATTTCATACATATCAAATAGAAGAGCCTTATAGGTATTCCTTGACTTATGATCATTTGTTTAGTGACTGTTCAAAGCTACAATGGCAATGAAAAAAATGACTTACAACCAGTCCTCAAACTTGCAACTGTTACAGCATTCCCATAGTCACATGAACAAAATTGGCAACTGGCATATATTTATGACACCTGTGGCTTTCCTGGATTACATGATCATTATTTGTGATCTTTCCAACTAGCTTCCCACAAACAAAGTCAATAGGGGAAACTGAATTAATTTAATGATTGTGTGATTCACGTACTTACTATGGTGATTCACTTCATCGCTGCAAAAATGGTCATAAAAATAGGTGTGGTATTTAACTACTGGTTCATATAGTGATAAAAGTTTTGGTTTTATTCTGGTTATAAATTAAAGACTACTTATATTTAATATGAAAGTGGTCAACTAATTGCCACTAAGGATGGGGAAATTAGTTTTCATTGAGAAAGTTCTTCCAAGATTTTTTCCTCACTTCTCTCTTTCTCACTTTCCTCAGCCTTCTCCTTTTAATTTGGTTTTATTTTACTATCCACCAAGATTTATAAAAGAAATACTTCTTAAGGCTTCTGTTCCTTCTCATATGGAAAAGAAAGAAAGCCAATGGCTTTATAACAATTACCAAGGGAGAAAACTGCCAAGTTATACAGTAAAGAGATCATGGATTGAATTCCCAGAAATCAATTCTATATATAAAAGCAATTCTTTGCCAGTTTTATGTGAAATTTATTTATTTTTCCTAGTTAACAGATAGACACAGTAATCTCTACAATTACTCCTCACAAATAAAGAGGATAGATGGAAGGAAATCCTTTAATGCTGACATGGTCAAGGATTGGTGGATGTTAATATTGGTCTCTTACCATAGATAGATCAGATTCTAATGCGAGGGGAACATTTACCTTTTTATAGTTACCTCCCACTGCAAGGAGAACCCCATTTGACTAGTCTGCAGCATTTGACTAATGGATCTAGTGGGGTTCAGAGAGAACCTGGAATTCTTCCCAAAGCTTTGGATCACAATCCAACTGACACCTTAGTAACAATTGGAAATAAGTGAACAATGATAGTTTTAGATTAAATGGTGTCAGTGAAGTATCTGACTATTCATGGAGCTCTCCCTGGTGTTCAAGAAACTTCAGAAAATGAAACAAGAGATATCTAAAGTGCCACTGCAGGAAGATAGAAATGAATTTAATTGGGAATAGGTAGGTATCTTAGGTATTATCTTGTAGCAACAAGATGTGAAGCAAGTTTTCTTTCCATCTCTTATTGCATCTGCAGATACCTTCTTTATATGTAATGCAGTGGGAGCTCTTGCTGGACCACTGTGTTGCTTGTGTTTTAGATCCTTATTGGTCAAGGCTTCCCAATAGGTGAGACGCAGTTAGTTCAAGTAGTGATTTCTGCTTCTTTCATGTATAGAGTAGTTCCACCTTCCTTGAAGGAGGCAGTGGTCAGTCACTTTTTCAAGAAGTCTTCTTGCATTCAACAATGTTGGAAATTTTTCATTAATTCAAAGATGGATGGAACAATGGAAGGATTGGATAATCAAGTGTCTAGAAATAATAGGAGTAAGTAGAAACATCAGAAGCTTTGTGCAAAGATAGATGGCACAGTTGCTGGTCAATGGTGATAGAATAAAATAGGGTAAAATTAAGAATCTTCCAAGGAGTCTCAATATTGCTACACGGTTTGTCATTGCACTGATTCATATGTCAACAATACTGAATAGTTCAGGCCATCAAACATCAAAACTATCTGCCAAGCTATCCCATCTCCTTTACATGGACAATTTGAAACTATATGGATAAATAACATCTGAAATAGAATTACTGCTCAATGCTGTCTGTATTATAGCCAAGATATTGAAATGGAGTTCAGCCTGGACAAATATGCCATGCTTATCAAATGAGAGAAAATAGTGAAAACTGGAGGAATCAAGATACCCTGGGAAATAGCATCAAGAGTTTGGATGAAGATAGTCACTATAAATACCTGAGCATCCTTCAAGCTGACGTCAAGCACACTGAAGTCAAGAAAAAGATTACAGGTGAATTCATCAAGAGAATCAAGAAGATCTTAAAGTCCAAACTCAACAGAGACAATACCATCAAGGCAATCAACACCAGGACAATTCCAGTCACTATATTCACTATATTCACAGTTAGAATAGTGGACTGCACTCAAGCTGATTAAAGGCCCTGGATAAGAAAACTAGAGAAATAATGATAATAAATCATGCTTTCATCCACACTTGTTGACAGAACTACTTACCAAGGAAAATGGATTGGTATGGAATTTTGCAAATACACCAGACAGTTGAAGAAGAAAAAAAGGGGATTGGAAGGATAGTGAGGCAGATGCACATTAGGAAGGCCTACTGAGTACTGGAGAGATCAAACTAGCTTATAAAAAGGAGCAAGAAAGCATGGGAAACATTACATGGGCAGTACTTTAAAAAATAGCAGGGAAAGCAAATAATAACAAGGTCTGGCAATGGCTAAGAGCAGGAAAGTTGAAGAAAGAGACAGTGCAGCTAATTCTAGTTGCACAAGACTTAAGAACAATTGCATATACCAAGACAGAATTGAGAAGATAGCAACAGATAGCAAGTGCTGCCTCTGCAAAGAAGCTGAAGAAATAATGGATCATATAGTTTGGTGCTGCAAAAAATTGTATAGATTGACTACAATGACATGACAAGGTAGCAACAATGACGCATTGGAAGATGTGAAAGAAAGAACTGGTGGAACCATAAACTAGAGAAAGTAATAGAAAATGAAGAAATACTCTGGAATTTCAAACAGATGGGCACCTGCCACATAATATCCTAGACTTAACAATTGTCAATAAGAATGAAAAAAGTCTTGACAGTGGATGTGTTAGTACCTAGAGATAGCATAGAAGAAGAGAAGAAACTGCAGAAAACTAGAAGAATACAACAATCTGAAAATAGAAACAGAATGACTGTGGCAAAAGAAAGCAAAGGTAGTACCAACAGTAATAGATGCTTTGGGATGAACATTACTTGAACATTGACAGATTTATCATCAGCCAATTGAAAAGGCAGCTTTACTTGGAGCAGCTTTCATCTGGTGGTAATATCTGCAACACTATCAAAAATCCATATATACCTATCCCTGGGAAGAACTCAGTAAGTGGACAAAAATGCCAAATCTAGTCTGAATATCTGGCTGCAAGGGACCATAATAATAATAAATCAATAATAAATAAATATTTTCAAAGGCCCTGAAAGAAGATTATTTTGATCCTTTTCAGTTAGGATTCAGTTCAGGTTATACCATTGGTCATAGTATTTTTTGGACCAGCTTAATGGATTTCATTTTCATTTCATTTCATTCATTTTCATTTTATTAACTTGTATGCCGCCCACTCTCGGAAGACTCAGGGCGGCTTACAAATAAAAAAGGGAAAGGGAAATATATATATATAAAAAAAAACAGTTAAGAATACAACAACATTCATAACACAAGATGGGGCTGGATAATTCAGCAGCCCCAGGCCTGCCGGAACAGCCAGGTCTTGGTTGCTTTGCGGAAGGCCGGAAGGGTAGTGAGAGNTGTAACTTCAATCACTAAATGGTCAAGACATACATGTGTGTGTGCAATATTTCACAGTAACTGACTTTTATCCAGAACTGAGATTCTTCCTACAGCTTTGACAGCTAGGATCAATAATTTTGTAACCTCTGGATGGCAGTAGAGAACAATTTTTTTTACCAGTTGAAGGCTGATAAGCAGCATTATTAAGAATAAAAAAGATCCTTCATTATTATTATTTTTTTAAAAGCACTTCATTTTTCA